GCTACAATGCCATGGATCCCACCCTCCAATGCAGCCATTTTCGCCAGGGGAACTGATGCTGGTAGTCTGGAGATCCAACCAAAAACAAGGGAAATACACAGTATAGAATCACCAACAAAAGACCAACGGTGTAATGAAATCACAATAAAGCATAAATTACAAATTTATAGCAATAACCATGACATACATAGTTCCAAGTAGCAGAACACAATATCTTCATATCCAAGGTGCTTTGCCAAAAGTTACTGGGATACCGGCCAAGCACCTTGGATAGGAAGATATCGTGTTCTGCTACTTTCTTCGTTAAATGTTTTTGACACCACTCTGTGAAGACTCCTGGACTATCTTGCTCCCTTTGCACCGATGGATCATCAGCGTTTGTAGTGGTGCTCCTTCACAAGATTTATACTTACTGTTGGCAATTTTTATAGTATGTCATGGTTACTGCTATAAAATTTATTGCAATTTCATTACACAGTTGGTTTTTTTGTTGGCAGAACGGAGATCAGCTGTAATCCAGAGAGATCTCCAGGCCCCATCTAGAGGCTAGTGCAAAAACTGAGGGTCACACAGTGTTAGGAAGATATGGAGAAATATATGACACTGTGTAGAATAGATGTACGCTTAAGACAGGCCTATTTTGTGCTTCTTATTTTTCTTTCCTTAATTCTTCTACACTGTTATATAAATATTGGTGTCAAGTATTACCACACATAGGTTCACCAAAATAATACATCAAAGTGTGGGTTTACACCATTTTCAAACAGCCCCTTGTCCGTTCCGCGATCACCAGTCCATCAAAATAATACATCAAAGTGCAGGTCTAGTGACTGTGAAACCGACAAGGTGCTGTTTGAATGTTTGAACATGATGTAAACCCGCGCTTTGATGTATTATTTTGGTGAACCTATGTGTGGTAATACTTGACACCAGTATTTATATAATAGTGTAGAAAAATTAAGAAAAATAAAAAGCACAAAATAGATCTACCTTAAGCATACATCTATTACCAGCCTCAGGGTCTTCTCCAGTGAGTGCTCCCTTCTCCTTTGGTGGCCAAAGGGTTTGAACTTCAGCTTCAGTATCTGGCCTTCCAGGGAACAGTCAGGGTGGATTTCTTTTAGGATTGACTGATTCGATCTCCTTGCAGTCCAAGGTACTCTCAAGAGTCTTCTCCGGCACCATAATTCAAAAGCATCTATTCTTTGGCACTTGGCCTTCCTTATAGTCCAATTCTCACAGCCATACATGACTACTAGGAATACCGTCGCTTTGACCATACGGACTTTTGTTGGCAGGGTGATGTCTCTACTTTTTATCATGCTGTCTAGGTTTGCCATCGCTTTCCTCCCAAGGAGCAGGCGTCTTTTAATTTCATGGCTGCAGTCACCATGGTGACATCTATTATACACAGTGTTCATATATTTTTCCATACCCATCTAGAGTCTGGCAACCCTATACCAGACATTTTTGTTAGCTTTAAAAAGCAGCCCTGGTATGTCTGCATGACTCAGGTCAGGCTGTGGCCTTCGCTGGAGAGGAGGGATTAGACCCTTTCCCCCAGTGGATATCACCATTAACCAATGCAGGGGACAGGTATACTTATTTATTATTTATTTATTTGATTTTATTTCTAGGCCGCCGTCCCCCAAATAGAGCTCGGAGTGGTTCACAACATTCAGTAAAGACACTGTATCATTCCAATAAATACAGTCATTCAAAAAGCAGGCTAAAATTCAAAACAGAAACAATCAAACTGTTCCAGGTGGCATTACAATTTTTGTATTCTACCTCTTGGAGGGGCAGAGAAATAAAGGATAGAGGAGGCCGGCCTTGGTGTCAACCGTCATGGTCCTCAGCCATAGGCTTGGTAGAACCTCTCTGTCTTACAGGCCTTGCAGAACAGCATTAGGTCCCACACAGCACGGATGTCATTAGGCGGAGAGTTTCACCAGGCCGGCGCCAGGGCCCAAAAGGCCCTGGCTCTGATCAAGGACAGTCAGATATCTTTCAGGCCAGGGATCACCAAAAGATTCCTCTCCCCAGAGCGTAGTGCTCTTCAAGGGGTATACACCCCAGGATAACTTCCATTATCTTTTCTCCTACCGAATGACAGGCCCGTAGCCAGGATTTTGTGGCTTGTGGGCAGTGTTCCTTCTAAGCCGAGTCAGTGTGAGCTAGCTCACAGTTTGTTTAGCCTCCGGCTCACATGTTTTTGTGTGAGCCGGAGGCTAAACAAATTAGTTTGCTCAGGAAGGATGTGGCTCCAGAGCAGACTAATTTATGCAACAGCCAAATCGCTCGCTCACAACTTTAATGCTCACAAAGTAGAATTTTTGCTCACAAGACTCCACAGCTTAAAGGGAACATTGCTTGCGGAGCCAATTTTTTTCTGGTGGGACTGAAGTTCTCAGTGCAGAAAGAAAAGCCATTTAGCCAATAGAAACTGTTACCAGGAGAGATCTCTAAATTGCAAGGTGTCAACCACTTGAGATGACAGTTCTCAGCTGCTGCAAGTTAATCACTTCTACCAGCCTAAGCAACAATTCTGAGAACAAGCCAGGAGGTGGGGGGTGATGACTTCTATAGACAAGAAAGCTAACGCTTAGGCAGAAAATCTCTCTTAAAGGAGACCAGTTTCTTGACACAGAAGGGTCCCTAGAGGTCACCTACTCCAACCCCCTTGTTCAGTGCAGGAATTAGTCAACTACAGCACCCCACTCTGCTTAAAGGAGCACATGCCTTTAAAATGTTTTTAAATTATTGAAAAAAGCATTTACAGGGGAATTCTTGTGGGGCTGTGCCTTTAAGAAAGGGGCCCGAAAGCCCCACCATAGCTATGGGCCTGCCAAATGAACAACAGCTAATAGGGCAGTGAAATACCTTCCAAGCAATGGCCTATGTTAGGGGGAAAGGTTAATCCCACCTCTGCCTGGAGACACAGCCCAAATCTATCATGTACCCTCCTTTCTAAAAAGTGACAGGTTAAAAGGAGCCACAAAATACGACTGCAAGTCCCCAATGTAATGCACAGCTGGGCCTTCGCTTCTTAAAGCACAGAAGCGCCCAGAGCCAAAGTCAATATGGTTGACTAACACATCCTTACCTTCTGGTTTCTTCGGTGATACTGAGCCACGGTAGAACGCGGAGCCATCTCGAGCGACTGCCCAGACCTGGTGGAACCCTCCGATGGAGACCGAGATGAACGGCTGGTCGGTCCCCACATGCAGCCAAGAAGAACCCTGGGTACAGAGAGCATAGGCAGGGAGATAAGCTGGAAATAACGGCAGGGAGATAATCCGGAAATAAAGCTCTCCGATATCAAATGGACCACTGGAGGGAGCGAGACTCCTATGGAATTGGCCCCCCCCCCCGAAGCCCTGGTGAAACAAACAGCAAGCAAAATGGGAATGCAGAAAAGCCCCAAAATACGCCCAAAGAACTCCACAATCTCAGAGGGTCGTTGTGTTGGTCTGTAGTAGAACAGCTAAGCCTTAGAGACCAACAAGAATTTCAAGTGATAAGCTTTGGAGAGTCAAGGGTTCCTTCATCAGATAGTCTTGAAATCTTATACCCCTCAGATCTTGGCCTCTAGGGTGCTACTGGACTCAAATCTAGCTCTCCCTCTTCATTGGGAGTTCTTTGTGTGGCTCTGGCTTTTCTTCATAGCCTCGGGAAGCCCATTCTAGAGTACAAAAAACAGCTATCGAGAAAACCAAGAGGCTCTCCGGAGCAGCTGAAAACGGGATTGGAAGTCCTCTCACAGGAGGAGGAGGGAAAGCTGCGAGTTTTCTCGGCCCTAGGAATGAGAGGCAGCCCCACTGGGTTTTCTTTTTTTAGGTGAAGCTGGCTTCTCTGAAGAAGAAATTAGACTGGTAGTATGTAACAGTAACCAGTAAACGGAAGAATATCTAATGTAAGTTATTATGTTGATATATACAGGGGTCATTTCGCAGAAAAAGAGGTGCAGGAACTCATTAGCAAAACTCATTTGCATATGTCACACCCCCTGACATCACCGGAAGTGTGTCAGAAGGAAACATCCACCGCTCAGGCTCCACTGGACTGTTTTGGATTGGTAGCTATGGGGGGGGGGACGTGTCCTCACAGAGGAGGGAGAGCTTGTACCTGAAGGCAGGCCGGGGGGGGGGCTCTGCAATTTACCTATAAATCTTGGCCTTAAAGTTGCCCCTGGACTGTTTCGGACTGGGGGGCTGGGGGGGGGGCCTTTGCAGCTTACCTGGCTGCTTCTTGCTCTGACTGAGGGCTGCTGGGAGCAGGGGGTGGGGCTTGTTTCATATGCCCGCCCCCTGGGCTCTTTACTGCTGGAGCTCCGCTCCTGTGCGCTCCTGCAGGAAATGACCCCTGGATATATGTATTTTAACTAATGTGAATATGGGGAAAGAACTCAGGAAACTGAATGGAATTATACTTAACGGGTGTTATAAGATAATAGGATTCAGAATAGGAAGCAATTCTTGGTTAGTAATTAGGTATAACAGGGGTTAGTGGATTAGTCTGAGAACACTTTCTATTAATTAATAATTTTGGGGGTGAATAATATAATAGATTGATGGAAAATAAGGTCAATAATCTGTATTATTGTTCATTACAGAAATTCATAAACTGTGAATTAAAAACAACAACCCTGAATTTGAATTCACAAAGGACCCATTGACTCACCCCTGTCCCAGTTAATCTGAGAAATGGACTTTGGATGCTTTTAGGATGCTTTTATGGGCCAGCCTGAGTCCTGTGTGGCTGAAGACTCCTCAGGAGTCAGGGAGCCACATGCAGCCAGCTCTGAATCAGCCAAAGTTAGTGAATTAGAGATACAGGAGTCTCAAGATTCATTTGCTGGCAGCTGACCTTGACCCACCCATGCCTACCTCTGAAGAAGCCGCCCAAGCAAAGCTGCACGCTCCCCGGCTCCCTGTTAATTGAACTGTGAAGGGAAAAGCTCCGGCAAGACTTAAGGACATGCAGATGGAGTGCTCGCCTCTTGGCTGCTTATTGATAGCCGTTCTGAGTAAGTGCAGGAGCACCTCCAAGCAGGTGGCTGTAAATCAGGCTTCTTAAGGGATGCCTATCTAAATCAGACCTGGAGAACGGCAGATTGTGGAAGCAACTTGTCACAACCCTGTGAACTTTGCAACCACAACTCTGGACTCTGCCTGCCTCCTGTGACCTTTGGCCTGACCCTCGACTCTACTTTTTGGACCTGCCTGAATCTTGCTGATCAACAACCTTGGGCTGTCTTGACTCTGCTTTCCGGAACAACCCACGGACTCCGACTGCTGCTAAACCGGCGTTTGATCTCTGGACTGGACTCTTGACTGTGACCTAGCTCTGTGGCCTTGCTCTGTAGCCTAGCTCTGGCCGTATTCCAGGACAGGGCCCAAGGAAAATGCACAGGGATTCAAAAGAGCACGATGGACAACCTCCAGGCTCAGCACGGATAGAAGCCAAGGGAAGAACGAAACAGAACCCCCACACGCAGAGGCTTACAGCCGGGTTCTGAGGAGTGATGTTCAGTCGGCAGAGCACGTCTCCCTTGTCGCTGATGGCCCAGAGGGCCACACATTCTTCCTGGGCGGCGGGCAACTCGGGAATGATGGAGATGTCCCACAAGGCTATGGGAGGGACCTCCAGCCAAGGACCGCTGGTGACGATCTTGCATTTCCTACGGGTGGGGAGGTGGGCGGGAAGAAAGAAAGAAAGAAGAGCAGATGTGATCCTGGAATCTTTTCTTTATGCATTTGGGGATACGATGCAAATATTAGTGTCTCCCTCGTGGTGGGGAAGCCACTCTGACTCTTCCCCGCATGTCGGTTGCCAGCTCCCAAGTGGGGGCTCGGAGATCTCCCAGAATTACGACTGATCTCCGGAAGACAGAGATCATTTCCCCTGGAGGAAGCTGGCCGCTTTGGAGGGAGGACTCCACGCCGTTGTACCCGACTGCAATGCTCCCTCCAAGCCGTGGAGTCCTGTGAGCCAAAATCCTACTTTCTGAGCTACAGGCATTAAAGCTGTGAGCGGGCGATTTGGCTGCTGTATCAATTAGTCTGCCCTGGAGCCGTCCTTCCTGAGCTAAGACAGAAATGTGCAAGCCGGAGGCTAAAAAACTGTGAGCTAGCTCACATTAACTCAGCTTAGAGGGAACACTGCCCCACTGAGCTTCCTTCCCACCCCAAACCCCACGCCCTCCACTCTCCATCCCCCCCCCCAATCGCCAGGAATTTTCCCACCTGGAGCAGGCAACCCCAGGACAGAAGGCAAGTTCCCAACTGCCCTGTGCTTTGTGGGTGGCCCCAAAAGGGAAATGCAACCCTATTTCTTGAGCAGTGTAAGGTGGCAACGCATTACAGCAAAAGACGTGAAAGATATTAAACTATTACTGACTCAGCTTAGAGGGAACACTGAATGCAACCCTATTTCTTGAGCAGTGTAAGGTGGCAACGCATTACAGCAAAAGACGTGAAAGATATTAAACTATTGGTACGAAAAAGAAGTATTAATCTCAATATTATGCTAGAAGAAGAATCAGATTTTTAAAAGCCTTAGGCATTTACGTGCAAAGGAAGAAAATAACAATATTCTCGAAGGGTAGTAAAAGGTAAAGGTGTCCCTTGCTCGAAAGCCAGTCGAATCCGACTCTAGGGATGCAGTGCTCATCTCCGTTTCCAAGCCGAAGAGCCAGCGCTGTCTGAAGACTTCTCCATGGTCATGTGGCCAGCATGACTAGACACCGAGGCACACGGAATGCTGTTACCTTCCCACCAAAGCGGTGCCTATTTATCTACTTGCAATTTCTTGCTTTTGGGTTGGCAGGTTGGCAGGAGCTGGGGCCAGAGACGGGAGCTCACTCCGTCACACGGCACTCGGGCCTCGAACTGCTGAACTGCTAACCTTCTGATCTGCAGTTCAGCATCTTAACCACTTGAGCCAAAGAGGAATTTTGAAATGCCAAGCGCTTTACCTGGCCCATCGCCTCCGCCGGACAAAGTCCTTCATTGTTTTGTGTCCGTGATAGGACCTGCCAGGAGGAAGAGAGGAGAGTTTTAAAACAGGCCTCATTCCTGATGGCCGCAGGAATAAACAGCTTTCAAAGGGGATTAGACAGATTATGGAGGATCACTCTATCAATGGCTACTCACCGACTGCGGGAAAAGCCTCCTTGAATAATTCAGTTTTGCGTAGTTTGCGGAGAGCCAGGGAAGCGAGAGTCTTCCTGAACTAGTGGCTGACCCATCTTTGCAGAGTAGCCAATCCCACCATTTAATTACTCGCTGCATAAAGCCATTCATCCTTTTTGTCTGCCCTGTTAAGTACAACATCGACTTCACGGGGAACCTGGGAGTTCTGGCATGATGGAGGAGGAGGGGGGGAAATGTCTCTTTCTGCATCTCGCCTATATTTCATAAGCTTCTCTTGTTCGAAACTTTTGTCCTAAACTGCAAAGTCCCAAACTCTACTGCCTTGACTCAGAAGGAAGATGCTACAGCCCTTCAATCAAGACTTCACTGACGTGTTAAAAAAAACAACAACCCAAAACTATTCCAGGGTCATTTTAAACAGGCTGGACTCCACTTGCATCACCCAGGATTTAAAGGCCGCCCTTCGTTCCGGAGCCAGAGAGGAGGTGAATTGTGCTACCCAGGCTGTTAAAAGTATCAAAAGGGGAGTTCTTACGCCGGAAAGTCAGCCGCGTACTGCCAGCCTTCACGGTCGGTTCCGCCCGAAACGCTGAAATCGATGGCCCAGTCGGAGACCTAGGTTGCGTAAAGGAAAAGTGTTGAAATAACACAGAGAGAGACGGAATGGATCTTTCTTTTCCCCTTGCATATCGTCAAGGGGTCCCAATAGAACGTTCCTTCAGCAATACCGAAAACGACACTTCCGGGCACAAGCTCCAATCTGGTTATCATGCCTACTCATCATTAGAAAGGGTGACCCGTATTACGGGGCCAGCGTCAGCACAGGTGGACCTGGGGCCCAGGACTTCCGGAGGGGCCCACCATTGCTGATCCCCACCCCTTCCCCACCCCCTGTATCTATATCCCTGTTCCTAACTGCCCAGAGACACTGGGGGGGGGGCATGTGGGTGGCGTGCAGTGTGATCTCTCCCGGTGGCGATGGCAATGAGTGGCACCCCCACCTGTATATGCTGACCAGGGCTCCTGGGGAAAGGGGGATCAGGTGACTCGGGGAAAGGGGGATCAGGTGACCAGGCATCTCAGCATGGGTGGTGGGAGGGCTTGTGAGCGGGAGAAGGACTCATGGATGGGGGGGCATGCAGGGGTGAGGGTGGAAAGGAGGGCATAAGGGAGGCCCCTAGGAGTGTTGCCTCTAAGCTGTGCACATGAACAGCTGTGTTTTAACACAGGAAGCCCTGCTCGGCAGCGATCTGGAGCCACACAGGGTCTTGCACCTGATGGCACCTGGACTTTGGCCGCTGTGTGACACAGAGTGTTGGACTGGATGGGCCATTGGCCTGATCCAACATAGGCTTCTCTTATGTTCTTAAGAGCAGATGTCCAGCAATGGCTCTAAGCCACAAGGGATAATGGGAACTCTCTACCTGGGGCAAGTGATGCTCTATCTTCTTGGTGCTCGGGGGGAGGGGGCAACAGTGGGAGGGCTTCTGGAGTTCTGGCCCCGCTGGTGGACCTCCTGATGGCCCCTGGGTTTTGGCCACTGTGTGACACAGAGTGTTGGACTGGACGGGCCACTGGCCTGATCCAACATTGGCTTCTCTTATGTTCTTATGTCTGGGGCAGTGATGCTCTGTATTCTTGGTGCTGGGGGGGGTAGAGTGGGAGAGCTGGAGTTCTGGCCCCACTGGTGGACCTCCTGATGGCACTTGGTATTTTCAGCCAGTGTGTGACACAGAGTGTTGGACTGGAGGGCCCACTGGCCTGATCCAACATGGCTTCCCTTATGTTCTTATGTCTGGGGTGGTGCTGTTCTGTCTTCTTGGTGCTGGGGGGGGGGAACTGTCGATTGCCCATTTTAAGATTACAGCCGTTGCGTTCTGCTGAGGATGTGAACTGCTCTGCTCAGTAAGGGGGAAAAATTAAAGGGAACGTTGCCGCTGGGCACCGTTTGCCCAAGCTAGCCCCCTCCAAAACCTGGAACCAGCCCTGCTGTGTTGTATTCAGGTCTCCTTGCCAGGAAAGGCAGTGCTGTGACCAGTGTTCCCTCTAAGCTGAGTCAGTGTGACCTAGCTCACAGTTTTTTAGCCTCCGGCTCACACATTTTTGTCTTAGCTCAGGGAGGAGGGCTCCAGAGCAAACTCATTGATGGAGCAGCCAAATCGCCTGCTCACAGCTTTAATGCCTGTAGCTCACAAAGTAGAATTTTTGCTCACAGGACTCTCCACAGCTTAGAGGGAGCACTGGCTGTGACTCACACATAACAGCTTTGCTCACATGGTCGGCATCACTCTCTCACACACATACACCCCCCGGCAGCTTCGGCATCCCCACATTCAGAGTCCCCGTGGCATCACCTGCCTTGGATCAGGGCCTCTGGAAGTAGAGGGAAATGGTGGCTCAGACACTTCTCTCTCACGCTGCTCTGTCTCACCCCAGAGATCTGGAGAACTAATCCTTGCAAACATTCCCCCTTCCCCCCCCCCCGTTTGACTCAGGGCCCCACAAGCGAGCATCGAGACGGGGCCCACTTACCCACGACCACTGTGGCGACGGGGGCTTGGTGTTCGCCTTCGT